TTCATTTATTTCTGACATTTCATATGTCTCCATAGTATGATACGCTACAGCATAGCATAGAAAACAATTAAGCGATGGCATTTGAGAGGATTGTAATTGTTTGTCGTCAAAATTGGTTTTCACAGTAAATATGTTCTTCTTATTTCCTAACGGAATCCAAGCAATGTTCTTTTTACGCATTTCCATTTGTGTTTTCGTCTTTTCTTTAACTTTATGATACTTTCGATTTTTTAATTTTTTTTCGATTTTTTTTTTTTAGTTCTATATGGAAAATATCCACGGTCACCTGTTTTCCTCGCTTTTTAAAATACCATTGCGACGCTATAGTCCAAAAATAAATTGCAAATACGTCCTTTAAAAGACATGCATTTTCTGATGTACGGCCAACAGTGTCTATTAACTATGCTGGCTGTTAAAAATGTTTCGTTAACAATAATATACTCTAAACAGTGCTACATTAACTATGCTACACGCTTAACAATGTTTCGTTAACTATATAATACTCGCAAAGGGTGTTTCATAGATATGGTACACGGTAAACAGTGTTTCGTTAACTATATAATACTCGCAAAAGGTGTTTCATAGATATGGTACCCTGTAAACAAAATGTTTCATTAACTATATAATACTCGCAAAAGGTGTTTTATAGATATGGTACACGGTAAACAATGTTTCGTTAACTATATAATACTCGCAAAAGGTGTTTCATAGATATGGTACACGGTAAACAATGTCACTTTAGCTATATAATACTCGCAAAAGGTGTTTCATAGATATATTACGTGGTAAACAAGGTTACATTAACTATATAATACTCGCAAAAGGTGTTTCATAGATATGGTACACGGTAAACAATGTTTCGTTAACTATAAAATAATCTAAACTGTTTTTACCTAACTATGGTACATGATAAATAATATCTAAACAATGTACGAGTGATCATGATGAATGTAAATAATGTTTCAAGTGTACGCTTAACAATGTACGAGTGACCATGATGACTGTAAATAATGTTTCAAGTGTACGCTAAGCAATGTACGAGTGACCATGATGACTGTAAATAATGTTTCAAAAGTACGCTAAGCAATGTACGAGTGACCATGATGAATGTAAATAATGTTTCAAGTGTACGCTAAACAATGTACGAGTGACCATGATGAATGTAAATAATGTTTCAGGTGTACGCTTAACAATGTACGAGTGACCATGATGAATGTAAATAATGTTTCAAATGTACGCTAAGCAATGTACGTTTGACCATGATGAATGTAAATAATGTTTCAGGTGTACGCTAAACAATGTACGAGTGACCATGATAAAGGTAAATAATGTTTCAAGTGTCCGCTAAGCAATGTACGTTTTATCATGATAAATGTAAATAATGTTTCAAAAGTACGCTAAGCAATGTACGTTTTATCATGATAAATGTAAATAATGTTTCAAATGTACGCTAAGCAAAGTACGTTTGACCATGATGAATGAAAATAATGTTTCAGGTGTAAGCTAACCAATGTACGAGTGACCATGATAAAGGTAAATAATGTTTCAAGTGTACGCTAAACAGTGTACGAGTGACCATGATAAATGTAAATAATGTTTCAAGTCTACGCTAAACAATGTACGCGTGACAATGATGACTGTAATGAATGTTTCAAATGTGCGCTAAGCAATGTACGTTTGATCATGATAAAGGTAAATAATGTTTCAAGTCTACGCTAAACAATGTACGCGTGACAATGATGACTGTAAATAATGTTTCAAGTGTACGCTAAGCAATGTACGTTCGACCATGATGAATGTAAATAATGTTTCAGGTGTACGCTAAACAATGTACGAGTGACAATGATGAATGTAAATAATGTTTCAAGTGTACGCTAAACGATGTACGAGTGACAATGATGACGGTAAATAATGTTTCAAGTGTACTCTAAACAATGTACGAGTTACCATGATGAATGTAAATAATGTTTCAGGTGTACGCTAACCAATGTACGAGTGACCATGATGAATGTAAATAATGTTTCAAGTGTACGCTAAACGATGTACGAGTGACAATGATGACGGTAAATAATGTTTCAAGTGTACGCTAAACAATGTACGAATGACCATGATGACTGTAAATAATGTTTCAAGTGTACGCTAAACAATGTACGAGTGACCATGATGACTGTAAATAATGTTTCAAATGTACGCTAAGCAGTGTACGAGTGACCATGATAGATGTAAATAATGTTTCAAGTGTACGCTAAGCAGTGTAGGAGTGACCATGATGACTGTAAATAATGTTTCAAGTGTACGCTAAACGATGTACGAGTTACCATGATGAGTGTAAATAATGTTTCAGGTGTACGCTAAACAATGTACGAGTTATCATGATGAATGTAAATAATGTTTCAAGTGTACGCTAAACAATGTACGAATGACCATGATGAATGTAAATAATGTTTCAAGTGAACGCTAAACAATGTACGAGTTACCATGATGAATGTAAATAATGTTTCAAGTGAACGCTAAACAATGTACGAGTTACCGTGATGAATGTAAATAATGTTTCAAGTGTACGTTTACCAATGTACGAGTTACCATGATGGATGTAAATAATGTTTCAGGTGTACGCTAACCAATGTACGAGTGACCATGATGAATGTAAATAATGTTTCAAGTGTACGTTTACCAATGTACGAGTTACCATGATGAATGTAAATAATGTTTCAGGTGTACGCTAAACAATGTACGAGTGACCATGATGACTGTAAATAATGTTTCAAGTGTACGCTAAACAATGTACGAGTGACAATGATGAATGTAAATAATGTTTCAAGTGTACGCTAACCAATGTACGAGTTACCATGATGACTGTAAACAATGTTTCAAGTGTACGCTAAAAAATGTACGAGTGACCATGATAAATGTAAATAATGTTTCATGTGTACGCTAAACGATGTACGAGTTACCATGATGAATGTAAATAATGTTTCAGGTGTACGCTAAACAATGTACGAGTGACCATGATGAATGTAAATAATGTTTCAAGTGTACGCTAAGCAATGTACGAGTGACCATGATGAATGTAAATAATGTTTCAAGTGTACGCTAAACAATGAACGAGTGACCATGATAAATGTAAATAATGTTTCAAGTGTACGTTAAACAATGTACGAGTGACCATGATGACTGTAAATAATGTTTCAATAACTGTGGTGTCTCATGTATAATAAATTGATTATGAAATATGCAAGGTGAATACCGTACTTTGAAAACGCTGACATTTATTATGTTTATGTGTGTATAATGAATACGTGACATTAAAACTATTGTATTACTATCCATCTGTGACTAAGACCAGGAAATCGCGAGGTGTATCACTGTATAGCTAGGTCGGTGTTGGTTATTCATGTCTATCGGCCAGGCACGGCGGTCGCTGATTGGTGTAGATGACATCATGTGATAAGGAACATAACAAGGTGATATCATTGTGTCTGAACACATTGCATAGTAGAGTCCACTTAAGACTAGGAGTGTAGGAGTTAGCGAAGCTGGTCACTAAAAAGGGTATTGGTATAAATTGACCTGTTACATGGGGATAAGACAATGTTCTCTTCAGACAGAAAGTTACTTAATAGGGATGATCTCTTGAGCATATTCGACTGTATTGCAATTGATAGAACTGACCGTTTTGAACAGACAGACTACTATATATTTCGCGATGGATTATTTAGATAACAGGAAAGTAACCATTCTATACATATTGGTCTCCACCAGGTCTGAAAATGTAGGAGGGTTAAGTCAGTTGAAAGTCCGGTATCGATTTGATATTTTGCTTGAAATTTGAGAAGCATCACAATTTTGAAAATCAAAGCTGTCTGATTGTTATACATGAACCGGTTAAATCTCAGAACATAGAAAGAATATGGTTCAATTTTTACTCTCCTTGGCTTCTGATCAACAAGGTTTATTTTAAAACGGTACCTTTTTACTTCGTTTAAGCAGTTATTTGGTTCTTCTTCAGGGTTTCGTAAATCTTCCCCCCATTTCATATCCCCACGAAACAGTGATTTTAAAACCAACGAAACATACGCACGTTCATAATTATGGATATCACCGCAGAATCAAAATTTCAGAGAAAAGATATCGTTTAGCTGATTTATTCTGTTCTCCCATCAACAACGATATGTATGTTTCGTATTTCTCCATTCCTAACTAATTATAATGCTTGTTATGATTTCTGATGCAAACTTGCATACTGTATGTCATAAATACTGAACTTAAATGACATATTCCGTCTTTGCGTATTGCAGAGTTATCTTCTCTTGGGAGCAGGTATTGATTGTTACGTCACTTGTTTGTGCGAATAACGTCATCAATTTTTGAGGAAACGACGTTATTTTCTCACACAGACCAATGACGTAACAGTCAATACCTGCTCCCAAGAGAAGATAACTCTGCAATACGCAAAGACGGAATATCACAGTCAGTCATTGCTAACTAATGGCAGCTCTTGCTTATATCTTAAATATAAATTGTATGCTTTATTTTATTGATACTGAACACTTCAGTGAAAATGGTTAATTCTAAAAACAGATATAAACCAGCATGACCATAAATCATGTATATTTAATTGCAACGCTGGTCGAGACTCCTCATACAATTGATGATACTTTTATTTATTTTTACTAAGCATTTTATATGAAATAAATATATATAGGAAAAACGTATTATATTCTAAAAAAAACTATAACATAGCATTGTCTTCATTTTAGGTAATTAACAGCACTGATGAAGGTTCTAAAAGCACTTTGCATGCTTCAGGTTATTTATTAAATGTATATAATGTGTATCGTGGAAATATTTGTTCTTTCAAAAAATACGGCAAAAAAATGTATTGTTATTTTAATATAGAAATGCAGGAGGTTGAAATACGACGGCGGTAAACGAAATGTCAAACCAAACGAAGGGTGTTATGTCGAGATCAAAACTTAAACTTATCACTAATTACTTACCCGGCTGCTTGGAGAAAGTCTGGATGAGGAGGCTGACTGCAGGTGATGACTTTGGGCCTCACAAAGATAAACCACCACTACAAACATTACCGTAGCAAACGAGACGTCCGAAATAAACGGAAGCTTCATTGTGCATCTAAACTGTAAAACAGAGGGACGAGCTGGTCAAGGTTATCCGCTGTGTCTACCTAGTGATGCTCACACCAGCAAGTGACCACTAGTGACCAGTGCAGCAGTATATTACCTACTTATCTCGGTGTGTTGGGACAAACACCTTTTCGGCGAGTGAAGCCCTGTGGCTATTTGCGATTTTATTACACTTGAAGAGCGCAACAATATATGGGTTTTGCTACTCGTTCATGCGACGGTATATATGTACAATTGCCGACAATTTTATCGGTACAAGCTCGCTCTCGACCTCGAAATCAACACATCATAATACGACAACTTAGATGGCAATACACTTTATCGTACAGCGATAGCGCAACTCTTACGAGAACTGTGTAACAGATCCGTGTCATTAACAAACCACCGCTTCCTGTCATGATGTTTACTATGTGTATTGTGTGGTGTTATGATATTCTCAGTATTGTGTAACGATTATACGGAGATGATCATTGTGTCCTTACGTCCAGGTCTGTGGCAAGGTTGACCTCCGTTCGTGTCCTGGTTCTGCACGATCTTTATTGACTGTTACTATACTTGGTAGTTTGTCCGCACTGTTGTCGATGATGACCTTCGCTTCGTCAGCTATGGCCTTCCTCGATTGACCGTTCCGATACTGTACGTATGGTGTAACGGTTACACGAATGATGGCGCCTCGTTATGTTGCTCTCCGGTTTGTGTTTATTGCCTTAAACAAGCAAATGTTATGTCATTGTATTCCTCGAGTTGTTTGTACGGGCTCTCAATGTCTTTTTCACCCCATGACCCCAATAAATACAGAACAATTACAATGATTAGCTGTCTTGGCAATCTTTTGTTGGGTCCCAAATGTTAGACCTCAAAATCAATCCGACCAATTCTACATCAAATAATTTATGATATACAACATTTATATAGCACCCTATCTAATTTGTTAAAATACTCTAAGACTTTTTACAACAAATACATAAAAGTATATTAAATTTATAGCGGTAGTAGATAAAAAGGCATACAAATAAGCATATAAGCATTTAATAAGCATAAAATGCTTCAAAGGGCAGTGCGTGCATGACGTCTATGCAAAGAGCCTAAAACGCTGACGTACATAGGTGGGGTTTTATATCCTTCTTCAAATTAGTCAGGTGTTGTGATTCCCTGAAAGCAGATGGTAAGCTTTTTCAACAATGTGGCCGAAACCCTCCCAAAGCACCGGTGTCCATAGGTCACAGTACGGTATTTTGGGACACACAACAATGATTCTGTCTCCGACCGCAGTGATCGTGACGGTAAAATCAAACTCCGTAGGAATTATTTATCAGCATTACATGTTTGTTCTGTTTTCCTTTTAAAGAATCCTTGTGTTATCGTTTCCTTTGTTTATATCCCGCCCCAGTTTTACCGATTTTGAGTTTTCATTACGGTTTTGGTCACCATTTCATATCATCCCGTTTTTGGGGTTACGTTTTTTCTTATTTTATTTATTTATTCATTCTTGTTTCCTTCTTTTCCTTCTTCTTCTTCTTCTTCTTCTTCTTATTTCATTCAACTAATTCAATAAATCAGAACAGGCGTTTGATAAAGTACACGTATTGCAAAACTATTTCTGGAAAACACCTCGATATATCAGACTTATGTAAAAACAATAATCTAATTCAAACTATTTTCCTTGTGATTATGACTTGCGACAAGAGGGAAAAAGAATTCTCGTTTGTGTTATTGATTTGAATGATGTTGAAAGATGTTATGGCTCAAAATACGTTTAGAGTCATACTGCGTCATCAATACAAAGTAAGTGTTCTTTAAATGCAGACATTCCTCTCTGATTGTCCGGATAATTAACGGTTGTAACTTTGTATGTATTACTGACCATTGTAGACATTGTAAATTAATGGAAATATTGGTAAAGTCAAAGTGGGTTTTTATAGGCCGATAACCCAGCAGAAATCCCTTCATGTTTACATTTCTAGCCATCCAAAATTTCATACACACACAAGTCACATGTAATACCCCGACTTCAGATCGGTATTCAGAAATGTAATTTAGATATAAAAGTGGTGCATCACGACGTTAACGTATTAAATAATAAGGCACTCAAGGTGGTGTCCTCATGAAACAGTTTACCGAATAATAACATGTCAATCTTTTTTTGCCACCCAACCGATTACTATGAAGTGGGATATGATCTGAAGTTCTTTTATATACCGAGGTCGTGCGGAGTTTAATTTCTATCTACTAGTTTTGGCGAGACGTACCGGCAACAACACAAGGTTGTAGCTATGTACCAGTACCAGAGGGATCTTCCTCAAATTTTATATGTAGGTTCCCCTTAGTCCTAAACTGTGCAGGGCAAATTTTGAGACTGATAGGATAAACAACATGGCCGACAGGCAGCCATATTGGATTTTGATATTGAAAGTTTGTTATCGCTATTTCTCGGGAAGTAGAGGAGGGATCTTTCTCAAATTGTAAATGTAGGTTCCCCTTGATCCCTCGTTGTGCATGCTATATTTTGAGACTGATCAGAAAAACAAAATGGATTAAAAAAGAACTAAACAGATCTTTCTCATATTGCAATGATAGATTCTATTTCTTTCACATTAAGTACTGTACTAGTAAATATGTGAAATGACAAACTCACTTTGAAGTTTGCTCTTCATACACATCAGTATTAAGTTTAGATCAAAAGTTACCTCAAGGTGCATTTACTGTTAACATGACTCGATCAAACAGATTAGAGGAAAGAAGAGAAAAGATCGAACTGACAAAGAAATAATGAAGATGGTACAAAGGTTGGCGCCAAGATCCCTCTGGGATCTCTTGTTAATAATGGCCCATTCCATAACATATTGTGAAGTGATAACATGTGCTAGGCGTGCTACACACAGCAGTTAGCGCCTGATAAGGCAGCTCCTGCTTATTGTGTTGATTGTATAAATTGTATTTATGCCTACTCCACATAAAACTCAACACATGTATAGAATTGAATAAGGCCATCATAAGATGACAATTTATTATAATGACATCATGACACAAACTATGAAAATGATGTTTACTGTCAATTTACATCCTTAGGTGGGGATTCGACAGAATTACGCCACACCAACACACATATACATAAATCATAAAACAAACAATATTAAAAAGGGTACAATATTAAAAAGGGTACAATATTAAAAGGGGTGGCATGTAAGGGTGGGTTTTTCAATAAGGCAAATTTGGTATAAATTTCTAAAAAGATGCTGCCACAAAATGGCGCCGTTGAAAATTTTCTTAAATATGAAGAAAGAGGCTTACAGCCAATCAGATTGTAGCGTGGGATGTCAGCCAATTAGAAACCTCAAAACAATGGGGGCACCAAGAAGGGGGGAGCGGCCCCCTAAGGGGGCTATGTTTGTAGCAACCTTTTAACAATACTTGTCAAACAGTCTAATGCAGGGTTTATGTGTCGCGACATAAAATCAGCTATGTATATAACTTGCATATATATGTACTGTAATGCGCTTTAGAGTGGCTTATTCTAGCTAGATAAGGCGCAATACCAAATGTTGTATATTATTATTATTATTTATTGTTATAACACTCTAATTTACAATGTTCATAATATGTCTAGCGCATTAATACTAACTTATTAATTTCTGCGTTAACGCTGGTTTTGTACCATTTTAATAACTGAAGTATAAGTTCAATTTAGCCAAGTATCACATCTCAATTTGGATGGTTGACGTATCAGGGGGTCCAGCTTTCCGGTGACTATACCATCTGTTAGCGGGATTGTTGAACCTTGATGAGTAGGCGATAACATGGTATGTTTTAGAATGTTACATTCATAACATTTCGGTTGAGTGAGAACGTTCAATTATGCACACATTGCTTGCTCAAATGTATCAACGTGATTGTAAGCCTTTGTTCTTGTTTTACAATTATAACTATTACTATTATCAATTTGTTGTTAAGTGCTTTGGAGTAATTTTACGAATTATATAGGGCGCTATGTAAATGTTGTATTTCATTATATTATTATAACGTGGATTATTTCAATAGGCTATAAAACTAATTCCAGAACACCTGTTATTATTCTTCTTTAATTTTTTCATTGGTTTCCCTGGCAACCTGTCATTTGTTCACCTTTCGTCATACGTTTAACAACTGCGAGTTCGGATTACGGTCATGTTGACAACTCGGAATTCTCCGGTTGTGTTTTTGTTACATGTGGGTGTGAAGTGTGTGGTTTGACAAAAGTGCGAGCTATTAAATGGAAATTTTAAATGTGTACTATGCTATATAGATTGAAGAGAAGTTATTCAGTACAGCATTGTACACATTTAACAAATACCTAGGTGTTCCGGAATGAGGTTTACAGCCTTTTGAAATTCCTAGGTGAGGAGACGTAATTCTGTTATTTGGTTTACGGAGAACTAAGTTTTTGTCCAATGATAAATACCGTGAAGCTATTGGAATGATACCATATAGGTCAGGAGTGGTACGTCTCGAATGAAAGTAAATGATAGTCATGTATAATATATTATACCGTATGCATAAATAATCAACACCTACCTATGGCATATCTAAGTTTTATACCGGAATTTTGAAACGTTTGTTTATTTAGTTGACTCTGACATGAACTAAGATTTGGATTATTTGGTTGCCTGTTGTAAAAGCTCAGTATCTACAGATCGGGAAGAGTGAGGTGTACAATTCCATAAAATTACAGCCTGTCTCGGAATTTTGGAAAACAACTGTTCTATATGAAAGCTCTTCTGATCTTTGAACTGAAACTAATAGCAACTAATCATTTCAATCAAGTACAAGTATCAACAAACTCAAAGACGAGACAGCAGGCCTAGCAACCTTTACATATGCCATTCAAATGTAAAGAGCGTTTGTACTAGTTGTACTGTATTTCGAACTCAAAACAATAAACTCGCGGAAAGAGTAAACAATGGAAATGTTGACAAAAAACAAAGCGAATAAGACCAGGTGTTCAGGAAGGTTAAGTGTCTTCTGTTACATCGACGACAATCGACAGGTAATTATAGTTCGATTCTAAGTAATGT